AACGGCATTTACGCCAACTTGGTGTCGCGTCAAGTGCAATAGCATGCTTCATCTGTCCACTCGTCTCTACGTTAACCAGATCAAGATATTTTTTGGAAATGAACGTAGCATCGCGTGTTCGGGTATACGCCGTGGTCGAACTACCCCATCGCTCCAGACACTGAACCGATACGTCATGGCCCGCAATGGTCAACGGACTATTCAAAGCTATGCAGTGCGAACGGGGTACGACTTGAGGAAAGCGACGCCCACGGTATACCGCCGCGACGGGGGGCGACTGCGTTGAATGCTACGGTGACAGCAGCAACAGCTATGCGGGATGGAATGGCCACGACAATGTCATGGGAGCAGTAGCCAGATGAATACTACGCACTGACGCGGCTCCAAGCTCTCGGTCATCGTGATGTGTCGAGTACAAGAAGTCGGCAAGAATAGAGACCGTTCGAAGGTAATTATCACGTGCAAAACTGCAGCACGCCTTGTGGACGTGCTGCACTGCCGTGCGAGGATAAGCTATGGAGAAGGTATCGAATCGACGGTAGGGGAGCTGAACGTGGCGGGGGCAACGGCACGTGGCTGTACTCGAGGTATTGGACGACACGTGTCGGCATAACGTCAGCGCCGCAGTGCTCAATGAACGCTCGTGGCGGCTCTCCGACACATTTCCATGCGTCGTGGGCCCTGATGGACGCGTGGAGCTCTTTTCGAGCTTGTCTGGTCTTGCGATCGCTTTTCCGCTGGTGGGCATTTTGTTTTTCGCGATGGAGGGTACACAGCGAATGGAGTTCCCCATTCAACTTGATTGCGCGGGGATGCATGCACTTGCCGCTCTTGTATGCGCAGAATGGCGACTCGACTTTGCGTTGCTGCGACGGCATCGCGAATGGACAAGTTGAAGCAACTGGCCCATCGTGACTTTTGGGCCTTTGCATACGTCAGAGTAACTGCAGTCGAAGATGAGCGAGGTAACGGGCCGCGGGTCGGGCGTTATCCCCACGCTTCGATGCGGCTGCTGCAGGGCCATCTGTACATGTCGACATGAGCATGCATGTCCAGGGGCGAGTCCATGACGCCTCCAATCCTATGGACGGGGCGCGTGAAACCGCACCGAGCGAGGGCAATCCCCCATCCATTTCGACGCCAACGTTGGGCCAACGTCGAACAAGCGGTACATGAGGCGATGATAGCTTGGACCATCCGATCCGTCACATCTGGCTGTCAGCGTGTGAACTAATCGGGAGTGTAACCGATTCCAGTTACACAACAGGGAGATATCGAGGAAACTGTCGCGACCCTTCGGAAGCAGGGTGATCGGACCCTGTGCTTTGGAGTAGCTGCGTCCGTCCCGCAATCGCCCTGTATCGTTTTGGTGGGGGGCGACAAAGCCAAAGAAATAGAGCTGCTCGACATGGCGTGCAACCACGTTCACCTGTATAAGGAAGACCAATATGACCACCCTCGTGGACTGCGAACGTTTTTTTGACAATGAACCAAGAAATCAAAGTGGATTCTGTTGACGGGGTCGAGCTAATACTGTAATTCAACCTCCCCGTGTTCCCCCGTCCAGAACCAACCCCCATCTTGCTCACCATAACGTTTCTCTGACGCATGCGATCACACGTGGACGGTGCCGAAGCCTAGATGGTACTCACTTTTGTGCACCCAAGCACAACCCTGGCACACAAGCCACATGCACCACACGGTATGCGCCAGAACCGATCTTGTGGAGGGGAGGTGCGATAGAGGGATTTTTTGTAAGGTGCCGAAAAAGAATTAGCACTTCTTGGTTTCGATCCAAGGACCTTTGGGTTATGAGCCCAACACGCTTCCTCTGCGCCAAAGTGCTACTGTTTTCTAACAATGAGTTTAGAAGTTTTAATTTATCTAACATTCAAATTGAGCTCAACGTGGGGCACCGTCACGGCCATGCCAGAGGCATTGACATATGAGAGGGAAAGTGGCTCACTGTGTCTTGTTTCGATCACAATAACAGGTTGCATTGTGTCGTCGTTCACGGCCCCCATGAGTTGCGCTTCCGAACGACGCCACCATTTGCATTGTCATCGCCTTGCCTTCATGACGCAATGCGTGCATGCTAACACTATTTACGGTCGAATTGTGTCGTCGACGTCCCACACCTCAACTTTACCTTGATTTTAGTATGGAGATAACACTATTTAAGGTATTCAGTCGAAAACTTCCTCGGACTGCCCCTTGTGCATTTCTCGTTTCCTCCCGTCTGCGGACACGAAGCGACATGGCCGACGCCGCCAACGACACAGGCTCACGCAATGCGATCATCTTGGTTGTACTGACCATCGTCCTATCTAAGGTGCTTGAAGTGCTCTACCGTCGGTACACGTTGAACATTGGCACGAACACCAGCTTGGTCACGCTCAAGCCCAACTCAACCGTGATGTTGAAGCTCGTTGAGAAGGAAATCCTGTCCCACGATACGCGGCGCTTCCGCTTTGCTCTCCCGACGGAGCACCACGTACTTGGCCTTCCAGTCGGCCAGCACATTTCGCTCCGGTACACTGACAGCGAAGGGAAGCTTGTCATGCGTTCGTACACCCCCGTGAGCTCGGACGACGCGGTGGGGTACGTCGACTTGGTTGTCAAGGTCTACTTTAAGAACGTGCACCCCAAGTTTCCCGATGGAGGAAAGATGTCTCAATATTTGGAGTCGCTCCAGCTTGGCGATGCCATCGAAGTGTCCGGTCCCAAAGGGAAACTCACGTACAAGGGATTGGGGGTGTTCGAACTCAAGCACCGTGTGAACGACACCGAAGTCGAAGTGCGCAAGGCCAAAAAGATCGGCATGATTGCTGGTGGCACGGGCATCACTCCCATGCTGCAAGTGATTCGATATGCGTTGAAAAACCCGAACGAAAAGACCGAGTTCTCCATCTTGTTTGCCAACCAGACCGAAAACGACATTTTGTGCCGCGACGAACTCGACCAAATGGCCAAGGAGCACCCGAATGTCAAGGTCTGGTACACGGTCGACCGCGCGACCGACTCGTGGAAGTTCTCGACGGGTTTTGTCACGAAATCCATGATCGAAAAGCACTTGTTCGCCCCGAGCCCGGATGTTCAAGTCTTCCTGTGCGGCCCGCCGCCCATGCTCAAGTTAGCCGTCGTTCCCGCCCTTGAGGAGCTCGGATTCACGCCGGGCATGCACTTTGCCTTCTAAGCCAAGCAAACAAACCGTTTTTCACCTCATGGTTTCAACTCCGATGCTCGATATCTTCATGCAGTGCACGGTCCAGCAGAATTCGTGGCTGTTTGCATGCCTAGTTGCAGACATGTCGAATGGATGGCTGGCTCTGCAACGATTTTTTGCCATGCTCGTCGCTCGCGCAAAACGCGAGCTCTATCTAGCCCAGACGACGGTAGAACCCAATGCCGATTCTTATCGTCGTTCTGGCACTTCTTTTGTGGAACCATCGAGCAATTTTGCTGTGTCCTGTGATGCGTGCTTGTCATGCCAATCGAATTGAAATGAAAAGGCACCTTGGTTAGTGATGTGTTGCTACTTCTTTTTGGCAGGTGTCGTCGGCATGCCCAAAGCAGTCGCGGACGCCATTGCGTCGTCCGCGGTAAAGTCGTCCATGTCTTGGACCGAAACCTTCTTCTGCACACGTTTTTTGCGCTTGTCCTGGTCTAGCAGGACTTGCTTGGACGCTTTCTTGACACGGTCGCGGCTGAGCGCGTCGTCGTTTTCTTCTAGAAGCAAGCCGTCGTCGTCGTTGAGTTCGTCCGCGAGGAATCCGTCGCCAGGGAGGGGAATGCGCTGGTTGTAGGGCCGTGTAATGCCGACAGCGAGCTCGTCGTCAGACACAACAGCCGCGGCGGCCGTCGATGTCGACGCGGAAGCGCTCAAACTGGTCGAAGGCCCCGCGTCAGCAGGCACAGCGGTCTCGGTGAGCTCGAGCAGCCCCACGAGGGTTTCTTCACTTTCGTGCAATGCCTCGACAATCGTGTCATCGCGGACAAGAATGGCCTTGCCATCTTCTCGAACCTAGATTTCCAGGACAACAACATGGATGGTTGTTAGCGCTGAGGCTCCAGTTCCAAATACGGATGGATGCCAAAGCTAGGCCCCCCCCTCGCCCGTCCAAGTCAATCGAGTGGCCAGCACAAAGCCAGCGCACACGGCGATTTCTGTATGGCATGAATGCGCGACCGTACCGATTCAATCTTATCCACGAGGTGTTCCACGCCGGCTTTGACGCTGATGAGAATCTTGGCGACGCGCTCGAACTTGACACGCGCCCGCTCGAGCTTGGCCGTGGCCAGGTTCAAATTGGTTTCGTGATCGTCGACCATTTTCCGCCGGTGGCCGCCGCCGCTACCGCTGTACTTGAGCTCCTCGACGTGGGTCTTCAAATGCAAGTGCTCTGCTTGGAGGGCCTCGAGGCGCGCTTGGTTTTCCTTGGACAGCATCATCAAGTTCTCCGTCGTGCCTTCCTGGCTCACGATCTTCTGGATCACTTCGTTGACGTCGCTGACGCCCGTGGCCTCTTTGATCTTGCGAAACGCCGACTCGAAGATGTCGATCTTGCTCCGATGCTCCTTTTTTTCGTCTGCGACCCGCCCTTCTTTGAGAGAATTCAGCGCCAGCGACGTCTTGAGCACGTGCCCTTCGTCGGGTGCAAGTCCTTCGACCTCGGCCTCGACAATTTCGTGCTTCTGACGCTCGCGGCGGTCCAGGCGCGCGTTCATATCAAGCTTCATCTTGACGACTTGTTGCTTTTCTCGCAGCTCCTTGTCCCGCAGCCGCCTGTCCTCTTCGTAGTTGGACCGGACCCGTTCGAGTTCGGCCACCGTCAAGTCCTTGGCGTGCGCCGCGTCCGCAGACAACATGACGAGCTCGTCGTAGTCGTGGTTTTTGGCCGCCGCCGCTCGTTCGATCGCCGCCAGTTGGTTGTCGAACCCGATGCGTTCTTCCTTGAGCCGCTTCACAATCTGCTCGTACGTTTTGCGAATACTCTGCGCTTCGTTATACTTGATCATGGCTTTATCCAACCGGTTCTCCAACATGCGAATCTTGCGAGTCTCGGGAGTGTCTTCCAAGCTGGGCTTCTTGGCCTCCAATTCCAGGTCCTTGACGCTGTCCTAGATGAAGCCGAGGGTGTTCATGTTATCCAGGCAGTCAGTGGAGTTGTCGAGCTGACGAGGGCACCTTGAGCTGCTCGAGCTGGTCGACTTGAGCAGCCACCTTGTGCCGCACGTCGTCGTATTGCTTTCGGCACTTGGTCAAATGCACTGCGACCTGAGAAGTTTCGTCGTCTCCTTCGGCGACGACCACGAGTCCTCCATTCGTCGGGGCTTCGGCCTACACACAAAACCCATCACCAACGACGCCACTTGCAACGTGTGCCACTCGTACGCGCTTCATGTCGGCCACATGTTTTCGGAGCTCCTTGTTCTCTTGCTTGAGTTGCCGAATGAGCTCTTTGTTCGAGTTCTTGTTGGTCTCGAGCAACTCGACATTGCCTTTTCGATCGACCTCTACACAGCAACGCGTGAAAATCGCGTGGTCGAGGCTGGAGCGTACGCAGGAGCCGCATCTTCTCGCGGAGGTCGTCGACCTGCTCTTCCATGCGGGCATCGTAGTCCATTTCCATCCGCTTCAGCATCGACTTGGAATCATGGCGCTGCATCCCGCGCGCCGCGACGTGTTTGGGAAACCGGAATCGAGTGGAAGACGAAACCGCCTTGACCGTTACGGAACGGAACGGGTCGCCTGGACAGCAACATCGACAGACTCGTTGTGCGCCTCACTTGCGACCAGCATGTCCGACGCCAGTGGCACGCACGATGGCCCCCTCTAGAGGCACTTAGATGGTCCAGGTGGACTCTTTCCACGATTCAGGCCAACATTTCACTGCGGCGCGCTTCGGTGAAACGGAACAGACTTGCTGCGGCTGACATCAATATCACTATCAGGACATGCTCATGTAACGTGCACGCGTGCAAGATCAAGGCCAACCAGCGCCCTTTGCCAACAACGGCACGGCCGTTCCGTTTAGGCGTGGCTAGTGGCTCCTACTTGACTAGTGGCTCCTACTTGCTCCAAACTGCGACGGCTCGGTAGCCCAGAACGAGTCAATATTCTTCTCCTATAATCTTCTCCTATAAACTAAATTCAGCATTTTGCATTCGCGTAGCCGCCTTCAAAAGACTCATGCCATGCATGGGTCCAAAATACACGCGGCTTGGCACCCGCACGACGAAATCATCCTTCGGTACCCGAAGGGAAGAAAGATGCACCTTTTCACACTGCTCGAGAGCTCGCCGGCGCAACACACGAGTGAACGATTGGAGGCTAGAATAGCTCTGTCAACGATGCGGCCCTTTGTGGACATGGACTGGAGGGAACGTAATACTTTTCAATGATGCGGCTTGGACCAACGTGTAGTCTTTTCAGTGTCTACCCTGACTCGACGACAATGACAACTACCTAGCACAGTCTGCGTCGAGGTCTTTCGGTAGCGCGGGCGATACATCCTGGTGGGCCAATTGTGTTGTCAATCGTTGGTTGGGCAGCGTACGTGTGGCGGCTAAAGCGTTGGCTCGAGTTCGAAGGCAGAGTTGAAGCCGTGGCACTCCAATCACGACTGGAATGTGGGGTGAACGACGTTGGATGCTGGGCCATCGTGGTCACGTTTGTCCAGTCGCGGCGGGTGTGCGAATTGGCAGTTGTATCGTTATGTGGACATGATGTCCTGGAGACTTATTCGCATCGTCGTGCGATTTCCGTTGCGTCGATATCGCGACGTTGATATCACAAGCCCAGCATCACTCGGTACATTATGTTCATCGCAGTGCGTTAGCCGTCAGGACCGATATATGGACGAGGGGATGTTGCCGGGGTCTCCACTTGTCGATTGAGGCCACCACAAAGTCGACGAACGTTCCGCTCACGAGAGGCCTCCAAGGGCCTTGGCGACGTCGGCTAGCAGCCACACCGACAATGAGGTGGCCGTCCCCTCTCCTGGCCATGGACTCTACACATGCACCGCCAATCATCTCCACATGGTGCCAGGACGTTGTGCTGCGTCAGCCCCGCCCGGCCTGAAAAGGATGTGTGGCGTGGCTACAGTAGTGCCTTTCATGACCGTCGCTTCCGAGCGACGGGTTTTTTCAAGGTACACAACAACCTCTCGACAAGACTCTATGCCCTCCGATAACGGGAACCAGCGAACACTCCGTGATGAAATCCTTCGGCTCGTCTCCAATGCACGAAATGCCGCAAGGCGGCAGCGGTCCCGACCCGTGCTTTCATTCACAACGGGACGGAAGAATGCCCAAGAAAAGGCGCACTATTCCTGCACTATTGCAAACGACACGTTGGGTCGCGAACCTTCCAAGTGTGCCAAGAATTTCGATGGCCTCGGCTCCTGTCATGATGACCTCCATCGGTGACGTGACTGCGTCCCATGCGTCTCCCGGCGTCATAGCTGCGCTCGAGTCGTCACGTTTGGAGGTCGTTGCGTGAAAGGGCACGTCCGTTTCACGCCTGCGTTGGTCACAGCCGCCAGGTGATGGCAAAAAGCCACAGCCCCATTCGTTGTGTAAAAGATTTTGGCACGTGAAGCGGTCAGGCACGCCAAGGGTTTGACTTGGTTCAATGCTCCAAATGCTATCCCGGGCCGACCGTCTCTGCCGACGAGTGCGTCAATGGCACACTTGCACTCGCTGTGTAGGTACGTTCCACGGCGAGAAGTACAACACCCACCCGATGCGGCCAAGGCGAATCCATGATGCAATCTTTGCTTGCCACTGTGGAAACAAGCTAGCGGCGTATCCATGTGGTTGGGGCCACGGGCTCGTTTGGGGTGTGACGTTTTCAAGCGTGTTCGAACAGTGGGGGATGGCTTTTGCGACTACCTTGCGACTCATCATGAAGTTATTCGACTGGGCGATAAAAACTGCATAGGACATAGCCACACAATGCGATTTGCAGTCGCCACATTCCACCATGCCATCCCGTGCTTGGACGACCCTCGCTACCCCACCACACAACATTTTGAACCCCATGCAGTCACCATCAAACAGGTGACCATTGTGCTGTGCCTTTGACGATCGAGCTCTCCCATTTATCTATTGCAACCAAAGTCACGACGAAATTGCACGTTTTCCAAACGAGCAAGAGCCTTCTCGCCAAGTGTTCGCACACATGATGGTTTTCGCGACCATGGCTCACACGGACATTATTTTCATGCATCAGGCACCCAACACTCTCTCAAACAGCACATTTTGCTTCCCGACGCGCAGCGCCACGTCAGCCATCGCACGGAAAGAGCAACACACCGCGAGGGACGGAAGCACGACTCTGGCAATGCCTTTGATGCACCCACGTGACTGCAAAGATCACACTGCACGACCATGACGAACGCAAAAATGGTACATGCTCGGCCAGTACAAGTCAAATCTCCATCGCAATTCCATCTCACGTCCGTGCGACTTCATCAAATTCGATGTAGAACGACCAGAAGACATTGAACGCACAATACATAGAAGCAACCACGGTCGCAATGACTTCCCCGGTCAGCGCAGCAAAAATGCCTGGGGCGGGTATGAGAAAGCAGACTTTGTGGTTGGATGGGCATTCTCGACATCACGGGGGGGGGGTGCTGTCGTATTCCACGAGGCGCCACCATGATGCTGGATTCGAATGGGAACAACGAGCGAGCGTAAGCACGGACGCATACCACTCGCGTGGAGGGTCAGCAAAACACAGGCCGCGGTGGACATCTCGACAACACATGACCTGGCATTCCTGCCATGCGCGAAACTCGCTACCCATGGACTGTAGTCGTTCACACACGGCGCTTGGCCAGCACAAGCGTGTGGATAACCTCAACGTTTTTCAATGCTTGAGGACGGCCAACGGAACACACGTCGTCTTGACCGCATTCAAGATGGCGCACAGATTGGTTGGCCACGACGAGCCAAAGTGAATACATGCGCGGTGTACTGGACTGGGTGCCGCCTAAACGTGGCAGTCAGGAGAGACAGTGTGGCGCATTCCAGTGATGTGCAAGACGGCGGCGCCACCGTCGTCGAGCCAAGACGGAAGCGGCAAAGGAATGTTTCGCATGTTTACCTGCCAGCCAAGATCAGGCAATTCAAAGATACATCGCACAACATTGGCCAGCGAGACACGGTGGGTTGTCGACGGACGGAAATGTGGTGTAATAACGGGGTGCACGCAGAGAAAATCCCGAGCTGTTCGCACGCGCCGTCCAGACACCAGTGGGTGGTCTAGTCACACACACCTCCTGCACATCCCGCTATAGCGTGGACGTCACCTTTTCAAAATGCAGGGAAGCAGGCCATCTGCCCATCCAAGGTGTGCTGAATCAAGCGGGGGGTGGCTTGCCCGTTGCACTCGCCAGGCCGCCCGCGTGCCCCTTTCAAACGCAGTCGGATACCCGGAGCACAAAGACGGGAGCTGGATGGTTCGTAACATGTTTTGCTTCGTACCGAGACCCCACAACTCCAAGGTCAATGTCGTGCATGTACCGAATTGTCGGGCCGATTGGAGGAGGCTTCGCTTGGCGATGTGGCGGAGGACCGAGTCAGTAAGTACCTCGTAGTGCGAAATGAACGACGTCCACTTGGACCGTTGGAGTGATGTAGCAGCAGATCATTCCCTGGCGCATTCCCAGTTCTTGTTCGAGCACCTAGACGTCGAAGATGCTTGTGGCGCAGCCACGTGATATCTTGCCACGTCATCTACTTGGTGGGAAAGCACGCTTGAAACGCAACGCTTTCAAACAGTATCGAGAGATCCACGCAATGTTATTCAAACATGCAACCGACACGTGAGACTCCATGTCACGATGGACGATTCGTCAAACTTCTGCGTGAAGATGGACGGCTGGGATTTGGTGGCGGGGCACCATTGCAGGCACAAAGTGGGCTTGCAGCACAAATCGAATCGGGGGTAGTCGGTAGCTGTGTTGCGATGGCAAGCGTTCTTGATCGAGCGTGTGTGTGTTATCCAAGGTGACGAGGGGATGGCGCAACCCGTCTTCGCTTTTGTACAAGAACGAGTCGGGTGGGAATTCCAGCGCTGGCCTAGTGTCGACGTGCGGTTCCCTTGCTTCCATGTGCTTCTTAGCGTGGCGAGTTTTTCGGTCGCTCTTGCGTTGGTGGGCGTTTTGTCTGTCGCGGTGGTACGAGCATAGTGAGTGCGGGTCGCCGTTCACCTTGATGGCGCGAGGATTGCCGCATTTGCCGCTCTTGTAAGCACACGTTGGTCCTTGGAACTGGGGACTCATTTGACGAAGACGAACGAAGAAAGTTGTGGGCGCACAACAAGGCCGACTTCAGGTGGCTGCAGTTGGAGCGGACCGAGACGAGTATATTTCTATTTGCAGCGTTATTACGCCCCCAGCGGATACGTCAGAGCGTAACCGTTGCACGACCTTTCGACACCCGAAACCGTTCGGATGCCCGACCGTTTCCCCTAACGGTGACGAGTCGATGGCTGAACAACGTGAGAAAACAATGCTGCGATGCGTGGCCAACCGCGCATCTAGATATTCTCCCATGCAAGCAGTGGTGTGTTTTGCGATTGATCGCTAGATGGCGCGGATTCTGTCTACGTGGAGTCGCCTTCAAGTCCACTAGGAACAAGAGAGCGCGACGTTATTTTTGGAAACTGTATGGTTGTGCCAGCCAGTGGAATGAGCGAACGCCTATACATGTCGCGGTCGCTTCACCGACGACCCACTGGAACTTCCTCTGGGGTTTCCACAAACGGCGTCACCCCCACGGGTTCCAATGGACAGTGGCGGTTGGCTGTTTGGTGAGGACGCGGTTGGTCTCGTTGTCAAATTCAATCGCGGACGTCTATGCACCTTGCACCACGGGACAAACACGCCCTCCCCCCAATTCCACACACGAGGCAGACTTCAGCTCCCTGGGCGAGCGGAGCTACTTGCATGAGCAAGTTTAAAATCCTTGTGCACTCTTAAATGCGACCCCACTTGCCCCCCCCAAGGACGGTGGAAACTTCATATCAAACGTTATCGTGACCGTCGCTAGTTTGCGTGGTAATCTCATGCATAGGCAGGGTTCATCACGGCCATCGCTGGCAGACCACCAATATTACACAACACGTGCGTATTGTTTGGGGCAGGCATGCTTTCCCTCTCGAAGGTACCCATTGTTGATAACTGAATTAATCGAGGGTACTCGCGGCAATTCTACTGCCGCCACGGAAGCTGTGCAAAGCCAACAAATGCACCGATGGCACGACCTGTGCTACCGCCACGGCGCCCCAAGTTGTTCTGCATTGAGTCTAGTGGCAACCAGCACACCCAGGCCAGACAACCATTCGTTCGACAAGTCGGGGGGAGGCGCTTCAAAACCCACGAGAGTACCTCCCACGCCAGATCTTGAGGGTTCATCCAGCACCATCAAAGCACAAGTGCCATGGCTCCTCCACTGCAAGTTCGCCTACCCGACTGGGGGTCCTCGTTCAAGGTCGACCCGATCTTCCCCCACTCTTGATCGTGTCACCTCGGCCGTCCACGTTGCGGGCGACAAATTTTTGACCGATTCGATATATCACATTTGATTGGAAATATCAATATACTATTTCTTTTTATGATATTTTCGTCCGTTCTGCACCCGATCGTCCATCGACCAATCAGCGACGCCGACGGTATTGCGACTGGTGTGCATTTTCCATTGGCATCATGAAAACTCCGAGCGGGATGTCGGTCGTGGAGGTGGCCGCTGTGTTTACGCTCGGTGTGGTGACCGCCGCCGTGGGGCAGTACCTCCTGGCGCAGCAACAACCACGGCGCGCTGCGAAGCCCCTGGCCACGCCGTCGGCACCACAACCCGTTGCTGCAACCTCAGCGGACGCTGCGCTGTCCACCGAGCAGTTCAGCCGCATCTGTTCGTTTTTTGGAGAAGAAGGGTTTGAGAAAATCCAAAATGCGTTTGTGATTGTGATTGGTCTTGGCGGCGTTGGGTCACACGCCGCCCACATGCTGGCGCGGTCGGGTGTCCGCCATCTGCGCCTCATTGACTTTGACAACGTTACGCTGTCGTCGTTGAACCGCCACGCCGTCGCCACCCGCGCCGACGTCGGCCTCTCTAAAGCACAAGTGCTCAAGCAACGACTGCTGGAAATCGTTCCTCAGGCCAACATCGAAGCCGTGCCCGTCATGTTCGAAGACGCTGTGGCCGATGAACTCCTCGCCGGTACGATCCGCTTCGTCATGGGCCTCGCTGTCCCGCTCTCACGGGTTGTTTCATGTGCACAGGCAACCCCACATACGTGCTGGATTGCATCGACGATGTCACGACCAAGGTGGCGCTGCTGACAGCCGCCAGCGCCAAATCTCTCAAGGTCATCACAGCGACGAGCGCTGGGGCGAAAGCCGACCCGACTCGCATTCACATTGGCACTCTCCACGACTCCGTTCGTATGTTACTTTTCAAAGCATCTTCTCGTGGCTCATGCAAGTTGGGCAGGCGACAACCTGGCAACGAAGATCCGTTATTTCCTCAAGAAGAAGGGTGTCGACGCGTCAACCATTACGACCGTGTACTCGAGCGAGAAGAGCCGATGCAAGCTCCTCCCGCTCGACTCGGACCAAGTCGATAACCCGAACCAGTTTGGCAACGTCGAAAACTTTCGGATTCGCGTGATTCCAGTCCTCGGTACGGTGACCTCCATCCCATCGCATCACACCAACAACCCCATGTCGACTGATGGTGGGTGGCATGCAACAAAGGCACGATGCCGGCGATGTTTGGTCAGTCCATGGCGGCGTTTGTGCTGACAGAGATCGCGGGGTCACCGATCACGTACGTCTCGTTGTATCTGGCCAGTTCGATGCCACCGATGGCATATTTCTCCTAAAGACGTTGTGAAACTCCATCCTCATGCGAGCTAATGTAGGCCTGAAAACGTGGCAAAGCTCGGGCGCGACCAGCGCAACAAGTACTACCAGCGGCTGCAGCAGCGCGAAAAGGACGCCGGCTTCGAGTACGCACGTGTGAGCTGTCTGTGCATTCCGTCTGCCTCTCCACTGTGTGAATCTACGTGACATGTGACTCAATCGGACCTCACATTTCTGTTTGTTTGGGGTGATGCAGCTCAAAGATTGCTGTTGACAAGGACGACATGGATTTCATCTACCAAGAAGTGTGGAAGGCGCGCAGCTCGGTGAGCGGCATCCGATGTGGCGGCTTCGACCGCATGTTCATGTCGCGATGGCGCTACGAGCTGCCGCTTAGTCCGGGCAACATTGTGATCCTAACGACCAAGGAAATGGCGCTCATGGACGACAAGGGCATCGAAGCGTTCGGTGCCGATGTCGTCGCCCGCATCGACGCGCGATTGCAGTCGTTCGGGACCTGGGACGTCAGCGCTTAGAGAGACCGGTACAACGAACACCGTCGTGGCCTTTAATTCAAAGTTGGATTGCCGCATCGTACACACAGTTCACGAGCACAACCAAAACACCATTCACAAGACTTGTTGCTCGTCGAGTGTAGGTAGGTATCGGGGCTTACAAATGAGCCGCGTGGATGCAGCGTAAGGAAGGCTGCGGTCGAAAGTGCAGCATCTCTTCCCCCTCATGTGAAGAGAGTGACAGGGGGGGGTTCCAGTGGCAGCGCGTGGCGATGCACAACAGGTCGTCAAGTCATCGCGGTGCACGGATCGAGATGTACGAGTGTCCATGCAAGATTGAAATACGCGGCAAGATTCGCCCAGAGTTTGTTGTCGGTGCCTTCTACGGAGCCATGTGCATCGGTTTCTCCGCATTCGTGCGTGGGATGGATTGGTCACGTGGGCAGTGCCGCATGCGACCACTTGTACGTTAGCCACGCAAGGTCCCTACCGCCCATCGAAGCCCAGCCATCGCTCTCCGTTCTCTCGCACGGATCTCAAGAATATGCGCCATCCGACTTGCCACCCGTTGCTGGCAGAAACCTCGCTTCACACCGCGGCGTCGACGGAAGGTGCGTCCCAGACGTGCGCGGTCGAAGCCGCCGATGTCGATGGCGACTTGGCGTTGCGGGTGTTCAACTCGTTGGATACGATGCAAGCAGGGGTGCTGACAACCGCGCAAGTCGTCGCTGGGGTTCGCGCTGCCGCAGCAACGTGTCGCATCACGCTGCACGGGAACGTCGAGCTTGCGGTGCATCAGTTCTTCCATGGCCATTCATCCATTGACGCCAAGACGTTTGTCGACACCATTTCGTCGGTGGCATACTTCCACCCGAGTGTTTACGACCGTCCCGCCCGACCAAGCGAAGGTGATTCCAGTGGCAATGCCGGCGGCAAACGATGTCGCTTCCGCGCACTGTGGACGGTCCTGGCAACGTATCCGCTTCGTATCAAGTTGTGGTGGGTCCTCTACGCCGCGCTCAACGTCGGAGTGTTTTTCTGGAAGTTTAAAGTTTATCACGACCGCAAACCAGCGTTCAACCTGGCGGGCTACAACGTGTGCATCGCTCGGGCTGCTGCCCAAGTCAACCTCGTCAGCGGGTTCTTTTTGCTCTGGCCAACATTCACTCGTGCGCAGTACGCCATCACAAAAGCCAGCCCCGACATTGCACGTGCCATGGGCTTTGAGCACCGCGTGGCGTGCCACGTCGTCCACGGCGTCCTCTTTTACGTGTCGGGGTGGGTGCACGTCGTGGCGCAAGTGATTAGCATTTGGGTCAAAATCCCCCGGGCGTCGGATAGCGCATGGGCGGAGTCGGCCCTCGCCAAAGCCCCCGACTTTGCGGGAAAACCCAAGCCACCCCCGTGGGCGTTTGTGGCAACGTTGACGGGGTGGACGGGCGTCGCCATGCTCGTGTGTAGCCTCGGCGCGTGTGCGTGCAAAATGAAGTTTTGTCGGTGGTCGACCCGACGAAACATTCGATGGAACGTGTGGGGGCACGTCCTCGATGGCGTCATGTTTGTGCTGACGTTTGTGCATGGCATCCGCGGGTGGCTGGAGCCGCCCCAGGCCGCCATCTTCTTGGCGATCCCGGTCGTCGTCTACGTCGTGGTCGAAGTTTTCCCACGGTACTTGTGCACCAAGTTGTCGGCCGTGTCGCACTACTCTAAAACCCATGACACGCTGACGCTGTACATCCCCAAGACGAAGCGCTTTCACGATGCCGTGCCCGGGTCGTTCCTCCGCCTCCACGTCCCTCTCGTCGACAAGGTCGAGTGGCATCCGTTTAGCATCACCGCTCAAGACCCACACGAGTTGGCAGTGCAGATTCAAGTAGCGGGCGACTGGACGCGACGGCTGTATGAGGTCGTGCACCCACACTTGTTTGTTCGCATGGACGGCCCGATTCCAGCTCCCGCAGTCGAAGTGGGCCAGTATGGAGTTGCGGTCTTGTTTGGGGCTGGCATTGGCATTACGCCGTACGTGTCAGTTCTCCAGCAACGACTAGCCAACGACAAGACACTTGACCAACGCAGCCACCGGTCTCGATCGCCGATTCCAGTGCCAACTCAACAGCTCTACGTCCATTGGCAAACCAGCAAGCAAACCATGTTTGCAACGCATCAGCATGTACTCGGCCAAGTCGGGTCCCTCCCCTGCGTCGACGTTCAATTGTACCTCACGGGAACCTTTGCCAAAGCGGTCCCCGACGCCACGGACGTGCTGAGGGTGCTGCAATGGATGGCCACCGACGATTGCACTCGAGTGGACGCGATCTCCGGCATCGCCAACCTTCCCCTGCCAACGAAACTGGGGCGGCCCAACTATCACGGTGTGTTGGCGGCCGTTGCGACCGCGCATCACAACACCCCCATCGGCATCTTCTTCTGTGGGCCCGCCCCGCTCAAGGCGACCATTCGCAACACGCTGCACCAAGTGACTACAGAGTTCCGTGCCCGCGGCAACGACGTCAAGTTCATTTTCCATCCAGAGGTATTTTAGCTGAATTGTGCCGACACAGCGTTGCCACGGCAGCTGCGCGTAAACGTATTGCTTTGCATGGAGTAGCAATTGATGGATTGCATGTGCGCCAATGGTCATTGCGGTGCAATAGAGCATCATGTAAAAAAGTAGAAGTTAAGAGGGTAGCAGTGAAGGCAGGTCGGGTTTTCACTACCGCCTATGGCGGCCGCGTACGTAGCGTCCCGATGGAATGTCTGCAACGACCAGCATGAGCAGTCATGCCATGGCAGAGAAAAGGTTGGGGTTTGGGTGGCGGGGACCTTAACCGTAGCACCGAATGGATTCGGTGGAGCCTTTCTTGGCGCATTGGCCGCCCTTTTGCAAGTACTTTTGATGGTATTCTTCGGCTTCGTAGAACACGCCCGCGGGTTCGATCTCAGTCACGATGGTTCTGCTCTTGAATACCGTCGGAAGCAAGGCGACGGCGTCGAGATGGGCCTGTTGCGCGGCCATGGACGCTTCAGCTTGCGCCTTTTGCTCGTCGTTATGGTAGTAAATCCCCGACCGGTATTGCGTCCCAATGTCGTTCTTCTGCTGGTTCAGCGTGGTGGGATCATGGATGGACCAGAACGTGTCCAGCAAGTCCTTGTACGGCAGGACGGAGCTACTGAACGTCACTTGAACAGCTTCGGCATGTCCAGTGTCACCCCGACAGATGTCTTTATACGTGGGATTGGCTGTGTGGCCATTAGTGTACCCCACGCGGGTGTCGAGCACACCTGGTACCCGCTGAAAGTTGAGCTCGACTCCCCAAAAACATCCCGCCGCAAACGTTGCGACGTCCACCGTCGGCGGAGTTTCCGGCTTGGGCGACGAAGACATCATGCATGCAGTGGGTTGGCATGCAAGGGACAGACCTACCATCGACGACACCTTGGTCGCCCATGACCGCGTTCCTGGACGTGCAAGCATCTCCCGCTTTAACTTCGGGAAGATTTCACGCAAATAGTGTGAATGCCAGACCACAATTAAATAGTGTTAAACCAGTTACATCGTGGCGACGACAGAACAAACTATTTCGACGTGCAGCGGCGCAGCCCGCAGCATTGCCAATTCCTTCGGAGCATGGGGCACTGATGGCTGAGCTTCAAGTTACCTTCGTCGAATTATACATATGTGGCGCCAAATTGAGCATGTTGGTGAGGCTTCAGTCACATAGACCCTCCGCCAACATGACGCTGTGGGTGCCGTCGTTCTACCGTCCACACAGCTCGATCGGCTCAGCACACCTGCGAGGTCATAACTACCTGCGTCCGTTGGCTACGATGGAGTTTTCCACTTCATACGACCCCCATCTGCATTTACAGCGTCGAGGGCCGAGCTATAGGTCATCGTGGGGCCAAACGAAGCCGACGTGGCATTGTCCAGTTGAAACACCCTGCAGACATTTCGCACCAAAATCTACGCGACGGTATTCTTTCCAAGTCATTGTGTTCATTCATGCCTTCTTGACGTGCTGCAGAAGTGTTTCAAGTACAGAGTCGAATTGCCAGCATGTCGTCGTCGAATGCGTGATATTGAAGTCAGCCATAACACCTCACGGATGTCGTGGTACCCTTGGCAGCGCATTGGCCTCCCTTCTCCAAATACCGCTGATGATAGGATTCAGCGTCGTAGAACTGGCCTGCTGGTTGAATCTCCGTCACTACATCGCCATGGCCGCAGGGACACACGCGACTGAGGAGCGCCTTCCAGAATCCCTGCCGTTTTCTCTTCATTGCGCATTCCAATTGCTTCTTTGACGCTTCGGCAATTGCTTTTTGGGCATCGGTGTGATAATATATCCCTGACCTGTACTGCGTGCCAACATCGTTCTTTTGGCGGTTCAAGGTCGTGGGGTCGTGTATGTCCCAGAACTTGTTCAAAAGCTCGGCGTACGTGATCACAGTGGGGTCAAAGGTGACTTGAACGGCCTCGGCGTGCCCAGTGGACCCAGAGCAGACTTGCCGATAGGTTGGGTTGATCGTATGGCCATTGACGTATCCGACTTTGGTGTCGAGAACACCTTGGAGCCGTTGAAAATGCAGCTCAACGCTCCAAAAGCACCCGGCGGCAAACGTCGCGACGTTCTCCTTGAGCGACGTTGTTGCCGCCATTCTGGCAAGTTCCAACACGGTTGTCTACTGACACGTTCACCGCCGAGTCCGCGTGAAGCGGAAGTCCCACGAATTCGCCGGCCGACCGCTCGAGTTTTTCAACAATTCCAACTTCTTTGTTCTGATTGGCCAAAATTGAATCAATAAAATAACGGCATCTATGGGTGCCAAATGCACCTAATATGATTGTAAATCAAGTGGCACGTGCATAAGCCGTAGCTGAGAGGTCGGAACAACTCGCCGTGAGCGGTCAAGTGACAATGCAAGATAAATGCCTCGTCACTAATCAAACGACATCGCTGATAGCACGGTAATGCCCTTGAATAGCCAGGATTTCTCGTTGAAAAAAATGACGACTAGTGCACTGGGATACATATTCCCATGAAAATCCAAGCCAATCGCGGCGCGAATGGCGTGACAATGTAACGGATGCGCATTGGATTGGCTGAAAATCAATCCTCTTTTAACCAATCAAATCGAGGACGAGGGAAAGTTCATGTATTTCAGCCGCATATACCCTGAAAAGGCCGAAAACTCAGTGTATTTCAGCGAATTTTCGAGTGAGAGTAATCTTACGCTTTGTATTGAATAGATTAATCCAGATAAAAAGTAGATTCGGATTCATGCATGTCCTCGTCGCCCCCAAGGAGGACGGTCATTTTCAATTTTGCAGCGGTCCGAACTGACGACGATGACAAAGAGCGTGCCTGTGTCGTTGGAGCCCCATGAGCAATTGGCGACGTTTGCCGCGGGGTGTTTCTGGAGCGTCGAACTGAACTTCCAACGCTTGGAAGGTGTGGTGGAGACGCACGTCGGATACATCAACGGTACGACCGTGAACCCGACGTACAAGGAAGTGTGCAAAGGCGACACGAACCACGCCGAAGCCGTTCAGATCAAGTTTGACACAAACACGATCACGTACAAGGAACTGCTGGACAAGTTTTTCTCGATCCACGACCCTACGACGCTGAATCGTCAAAAGAACGACGTTGGGACGCAGTACCGGTCTGGCATTTTCTACCACAACGACGAGCAAAAGGAGGAAGCTGAAGCAGCCAAGGCCGCACGAGCTGAGGAGATCAAAGCCGAAATCGTCACGGAAATCGTTCCTGCGCAAACGTTTTATCATGCTGAAGAATACCACCAAAAGTACTTGGAAAAGGGCGGCCAGTGTGCTGCCAAGGGCGCCACCGACCAAATCCGTTGCTACGGTTAGAGACTTCTAATGCCCTTGTTGTACATCTTTAGTACTGTCTCCACCACGTGCCAAAGATGCGCTGCATGGCAGCATTCGACGCACGTTTTCCAGCAGACACCAACCGCTGAGACATCTCCGCCTCGGTCCAGTTCTTCCACACGCCAAAACGCATCGCTTGCGCATACTCCTGCCGCGCTGCCAGCCGTCTCGACCTTCGTTCTAATCGTCTGATGGACCGATGGCTAAGACATGAGCGAGATCAATGCTTCAATGCGTATGGTCGACCTAGGGAAATGGGAAGTAACCTCATATTTGATTTGACAGCGTCGACTTCAGGCTCCGAACGACACACAGCGATGCCCCGCGCAACGGCAAATTCCGCCATGTCTTCCTTGAAGAAGACGTTCTTGGGCGTCGAAATGGAGCATGCACCAACGACGACCTTCGCAGGTTCCTCCACGACGGGGCTGTCTGAGGGCGCCGTGGGCGGTGGCCTGATGCCATACACGAGTGCAAGCTGAACATGCGAAGATGGTAGCTCGAGCAGTTTACCGATAGAGCAGTTCGATGGTGACGTAGCGCTTCGATGCGACAAAATCCGTGTAAATCCATCGCTACCACAATAATGGTCGCTATGAAAGGAACGGCAAATGAAGAGATGCAGCGTTACTTTCGCTTCATCTTGCATGTCGACACCAAACGGACGCACGGCGAGAAGAGACGATTTGTCGGACAAGAATCCGCTGACGTCCATCCCCCTTGGAAGGGTCTCCTTGAGCAAGACGCGGCGGACCCATGGGGAATGGTAAACGAAGAGAGTGCTCGGGTCGGCGGGGTGTTGACCCAGTACACGAGCGACGACAGGTGTGCCCACAGGAAGCGCGTCCAGAGAGGTATACCGAGTCAGCTACGGTCAAATCAGTTGACGTGACAGTATAACCGAGGGGTTCAGCACACACCAAGCCGCTCGAGCGAATGCTGATGTAGGCGCAGCCCACCTAAGTGCTCGAGTGAGCCATTGCAACCAATCGACGAACTGTACCATTGTCGCCATGCATCCCCACCGAAACAACATGACGTTGTCGTCGAGAGTGGTGCTCAACGACACAGTCAGTTCCCCAACACGACGACGAAGCGTGTCAGAAGACATGTCCATCATGGATCGCAAGTCGTCAAACTTCGGCGACCTCTCTTTCGCGGTGGGAGGTGGTGAAGGCAGCGCCATGATCGTGTCGCTGCTGTCTGGTTCGCCTTCCATCGCCGCCGGCATGAATCAAGGTAGTGTGGTCAACCCATGAAACACGAGATTTTATTTGTTGAAAAGTGCAACAATCCACGAATGCAAACCAATCGTATGCAGTATATAAGGAAATATACCTTTCTTTTGACCAATAGAAACCGGTTATTTCGCGACCCTTCAGACTGCTACATGGACCTTTAACGCCATCATTGGGGTCGTGTCCACACACTCCACCGACGAGCACTCCCTGTCGCACACTGCACGCCGCCACTGGCGCTCTGGCATGGCCTTCTTGGATACGTGGGTGGTTGACAAAACGATGTTCGATTATGTGAGCCAAGGCGGCGGGTGTGCTTGCTGTGGAATCACGCACGCCTTGATGAACTGGGACAAGTTGCAGGAGTGTTCCGACTGGGGTAAGCGCATGTCGGCGCAACTAAAGCCCCGTGGGAAAGAGTGCGTTGCATAGTCATGGAGAGGAACGTTCTTTTATGTAGACACGGACGATGAGCAGCGCGAACTCTTTTCGCCGTGGCCGACCTTCATACACGAAGACGTCCAGACGCAGAGATGCATGATTCGGGCGTCGTTGAAGCACCAGCTCGAGTCGTACGCGTCGTTTCTAGACACGGACGGCGACCCGTTCCAAACATGGTTTTCAGCGTTGCCTCTCTCCGCCAAGCACCGGTCCGTCCGTGTGCTGCTGCTATGCTGTTGTTCTCGATGAATGAGGCATGGTTGAGAACAGGGCGTTCCAAGTGCCTGAAAGCGAATTGCTGCATTACATCGGCGCCCATGACTGCAACATCCACGGCCCCTACGGCATCGTACGCCTGCCCTTCTTGTTGCGCCGTTGCAAGCTGTCCACGTTTTGGCTTGCAGGTCCTGAAAGCCGTCACAGAACAGATCAAGAACTTCCACGTCACCAAGTACCAAGACGGCCGCCATCCTGCTGAAGTGTACTTGGAGAAGCATCTCAAGGTACGATTGCTGCTTTAGCCTTGTCCCCTTGAAACAGCACGACGTGGTCGCGTCGACGTTCTCGATTAGTTTGCAAAGGGAGCGTTCTCGCTGTCCGACGAGTTTTTGGACGCGCCGGAGTCCTTTCTCGCATGCTTGCGCTACCTCGGAGGTCCACGATTGTTTCCTGCTGCGCCTTTATGCGCCGGTACATGTCGCGGCTTGCTGCTGTGCAATTCGGTTCGCGTTGCGCTGACTCGTTCTTGGACTAGACAACAACGAGGATATCCCGACACCGACCGCCGCGAACGAACAATTCGTACAGAGCTTTCGGTCGGATCGCCGTCTTCTGCGCCTCGTGATCGTGCGGTGCTTCGCCGACATGCTCCGTCGCAAATACACGCGTGAATGTCCGTCCGCTGGTGGCGACGCCCCGTCAGCAACCCAACACGCGTTGTTCGACAACTGCAGCAACAACGACGAGAGCATCGAACCGCTAAAGTCCACCAACGCCATCAAATTCAACGTTCGCAACGCCAGAGTGTTGCAGTAGATACGTGTACAACAAATCGTCATGGCATTGATAAAGAGGAACGAGGACTACTCGGCCTTGACACTTGCCGCCATCGGCTTGGGTTGACTGTCCAAGACCTTGCGGCTTTCTTCGAAGAAAGCGTTCGGGTGGTTTCCCACTGCGTCCGAGTTGGCATTCGGGTGCATCGCTTCAAAGTGGCGCTTGCATGCGACTTGATACTGCTTGGCTTTTGCTAGCTGGACAATCGCCTCCTTGTCGATCTCCGAGATGCCGCGAAGACTCGCGCGCAAATGGTGCTCGTCAAAGTGGCGAAATGGGCACCCTACACACCAGCACGCAAGGAATGAGCCACCAAACGCAAGTAACGAGAAAAAATGACGAGCGCAACATCATCGAGGCGCAGGCCGTGGCATTGCATGTAGACCACAAAGTCATATCAAAGGATGGAGACGTGACATGCAGAAACGTAACAGAGTTGGAGGAACCAACTCTGCTATGCCTTCACACAAAAACACACGATGCCATGGAGACAAAACGTCCCAAGCACAGGTAGCTGCGCACGTGCCCCACGTCCGCCGGCATGTCCAGTCCATTTCGACTGCGCAACGCCACAAAAACGAAAAATCTTGACTTGCATATCAAGGTGGATACCACCAAAGCAGTCACAGTCACGGGAAGAACCGACTAGGCGACGCACAATGCGTTGTCGCTTTCAGACACAGCCTCAAAATAGGACGGTTGCCGCTCCTCTCACACATCGAGAAAAGCGCAGCGAGGTTTTGCCGTCGTACCGTGGTATTCGCCTTGCTTGGGCGGGTCGGCCGTGATGATCTTCATGCAGTTGGATGGCGTGTAGTCCTTTCGCTTGCCTTCTTTTCCGTAGTTGTGTCGGATGTTGTAGGCGTACTTTTTGTTGAAATCGTCGACGTTCATCTTTTTGCAAAACTCTTTGCGCCAAAACTCGAGCGCGTCGTCGAGTTGGAGCCCGACGCCTTTGAGAAACAGACCATACTGCATGCGTCCACCGTGCTTGAGATGGCTTTGCGTGGTCAGCGCCTGGTGTAGCGACTTCATGCAGAGCGGCATCGATGTCTTGGACAGGCCGTCGACCATCGCTGCTGTAATCGTATTGCCTGACGCGACCGGCGCCGACGAGTAGTCGGGCCCGATATGGTGCTTAGCCAAGTTTTTCAGCACCGGCATCAAACGGTCATCGCGGGCGGCTGCGGACCCGCCAAATTTTCGGAACGCCACTGCCAGTTGCTTGGATAGCTATAGCGTCGGCCGTGTTACTCCATGGCAAGTTCCAACAGGCGACCCGTCCAAGCGAAAACATCATCAAATTTGCAGGCCAAACAATCACAGAAACCGTGTCGTTCTCGGTCATTTACAAAAAATCAATACACTCATGAGCAGACGCACCGACGATCGAAAGCGGGCGTAGAGGATCGAGACCAAGTGCTCAAACGGAACGTAGGCAACCCCGCCTTGGAGGTACACTTTGCGCGAGCCGATCTACCGGAACTTGCATGTGAGAGGTCACATTCAGCACTGTCCGACAGTATACGTACGAGGTCGATCGCCTCCGTGAATGGAACCTTGACATGCACATCAAGATCTTTGTATGCTTCCTTCATGTCCGTAGTATTGGCCGCACGAACGGTTCGGAGCTTGGGTGCCAAGATGTTTAACTCATCTTCGTCAACCTATCGAGGCTGGATGAATACGGGAGCTGCTTGCTGTCGGGTGCGTTGCAAGTACCTGTTCGTAGATCAGCCCGTTTGTCCGCATGAAATGCATCTTGTCTTCGCGGGTGGCGCGATCTAACCGGTGCTTGAACAGGTAGCTCTCGTGGGTGAGAAACCACCGGCGCAGCTCCTCCGTGTGGCAAAACGCCATGCGCAGGATGAAATGGGACAGCTGGTCCTTCTCGCGATCTTCCGTCGTACGCATGGGAAGGTACATATTCAATGCTTTCTCGACCTTCGTTTCGGTCTCGCGTGGATTTCCTCCTCGCACCCGGTGCATCTCGACGGTCTTGAGGACTTGCAAACGATCGATCGAGTACGACTCAAACTCTTCCAGCGTCACTTCGACTACTGGAGGCTCTTGGTACATAGAGAGAGCATAGCGATACTGCGCCGTGGATCGGCGCGGACCCTGCTGCCGCGAGTTCGTCTTGTTCCCCACGTTCAACATCCCACAGAGTTCCTCAAATTGCCGCCACTTTTTAGCGCGACTCTCGAATCTTGGGAACTGATTGGTCAACATTTTCAACCAATCATATAAGATATGATATTTTGGTTCATATCCACTTATAATTCGTCAAATTTTATCGATTAATGATTGTTTACCAGTCTCTATTGGTGAATATCATAACAAATTGTAGATATAGAAATATTTTTAGCGAATCATCATTCCTCAAATACGAGGAGCAGTGATAATTGGATAAAATAGAAATCACGATTCGACCAACCACCATGTGCGATGTGGGTTGCGACGCCGTTTGGCATCGGCGTGCTGATCACCGACGGCGACTGGGAGATCCAGGCCAAAGTGACAGTCCAATTCCCATGGGGCATTGGATATCTGCAGCGACACATCGTATCTACGTCCCATACCTTTCAGTGCACATGCTTTGCGTTGCCACGCACGTTGCAGCGTTTCGCTCTCACGTTGGAGCTGACGACGACGTTTGCGGCGTTGTGTGAACGAGTCCTTGTCCACGCTGGCATGCCTTTGCTACTGGTGGACAACGTTGTCGTCATGCAACCATGCTTTGGTGGCCCTGACGACTGCAGAATTGGATCGGATGGCGTGGTTATTCGTGGCCAACTCCGCTTCTCGTCGTTACGTCCACTACTTATCCATATCTTTCCCACCATCAAGATCGCCAAGACGTCGTCGCTCCTTCGCATCAGCGCTAACGACAAGGGAGAAGCTGCACCACCTTTGCCAGCCCCTCCAGCGTCGACCGAACCACCCCTTCCATCGCAACCTGCGACAACTCTACCTCCATGTGTGCAGAATGCATCGCCAAGCGCTGGAACTACAGCTGCAAACTCTGCTACCAACAGCGTTCCAACACAAGAGCTATCACCAGTGGTGACTCAAATCGGCCGGGGCGCCGGTTGCGTTTTGGGAGCCGAAAGGACGTTGACCAGCGGCCGCAAGTACTGGGAAGTTCGCTTGGATACAACCGTTGTCGGCAATGGCGTCTTGGTTGGCGTTGCTGTCGTGGATGTGCCATTGAATTCCAATGTGGTTGGAACCGACTGTTTCTGGGGATTTGCCGCTCATCTCGGGAAAAAGGCCAGCGACACTTTTGAGACGTACGGCCAAGTTTGTGTCAAGGGCGATGTCGTTGGGACGTTGTACGACGCCGAGCTCGGTGAGTTAAGCTTCTTCCGGAATGGCGAGCCGCTAGGAGTCGCGTTTCGTCATCTCTACTTCGCCCGGTTCTGCCCAGCGTTCGCCACGACTAGCGTCGGACTCGCGTTCACGCTTCTGCCGCGGACAGTCCCACCGCCGTACACGTTAGAGCTGTAGGTTAACGAGTAACTTTAGCCAGCGCTGGGTTGCTCCCTGAGCAGGCTTAACGTTCCTTCAGCAGGTGCGCACGGCATGCCCTCTCGTCCGGGTTCGAGGCGACGGACGACGTGTCGTAGGTTGGTGGGTGTTCCAGGTCGGAATACCCATGCATCCAAGGGACACACAGCGACAAGTGCGGCATCGGGGAAAAATTCGCACGTTCGCATGGAAATTCGTGAAAATTTCAAGGTATTTTCAAAAAAATTGGGAAATGCACGTTTGGTACCCGTTTGAAATCGCGTGCGCTGCACAATGGAAAAGATTTTTTATTTATTTGCATACAAATATCAAGACAAGTTTGTGCATTGTTTGTTTTATATTCGTGCAGGGTCTTCTGTAGTCAATCGCAATGTCGTTTGTCGGGAAGAATGTTGTGATTGAACCTCAAAACTCAAGGCGACATGGTGCTGTCCGCGCGACGTCTTCTTGTAGGCGGCGCCGCTGTCGCCGCGGTAGTTTGTGCGAACAGCCATTGTGACGCTGATACGTCGCTCGTCGTACACAAATATGGTGGCGCCTGCCTCGCCCGCAAGATCCCATTGTCCACGAGATGGTGCAGTGTCGCGCCGTGCCGCGATGTCTTGTCCCGAGTCGCAAGCCGCGGGTGCCGCAATAACATGTACATGCGAGTTCTCGCTCAGTGCGAATCCTTACCTGTCGTACATAAAGCGGACGACCTCGACGGCGACGGGCAGAGCGACTACACGTCTGTCCGCCGGGAAGCGCAGAACGCCGGCGTCTACGACAAGAACGTGTTGAGCAAAGAAGCTCTGGAAAAGAAGGTACTGGCGCAGTATAAGAGAAAGGTCAAGACCAATGCGGTCGTAGCCAAGAAGAAGGCGAAGAAAGGCAAGAAAGCAGCCCCTGTCGCCAGCGCCGACTACTACTATGACCAAGGGGATGAGCAGGACCCGTACAGCGACTTTGCGAACGCGAATGGTGCCGACTCGTACGACGAATCTGACTACGTGTATGGCGGCGAAGCTAGCGCCGACGTAAACTCCCACCATGCCAAGTACGTTGGCGACGCGGACGTCGATGGTGACGAGCTCGCGCAAGACGAAGGCAGCGACGGCATCGAGTTTGACGTTGTGAACGATCGTCGAGACATTCAGAACGGCGGCGTTGTCGACAAGAACGCGCTGTCGGACGACGCTTTGGCAAAGAAGGTGAAGCGCGAACATGACCTGCGCATTCAAGCGATTGTGGAAAAGGAAACGCGCGCCGTTGCCAAAGCATTTCGAGGCAGCGCCGAAGAGGTCCATGCCGACGCGGAATCGTATGACGACGATGACGATGACGATGACGACGATGACGACGACGATGACGACGATGACGATGATGACGATGACGACGATGACGAAGATGACGATGCATGAGTTGGCACGCTCGACGGTCTGCGCTGTGCAGCGTCGACCTGTGTAAGTACGTGTAATCACGTCGGTGGTGTGTACGCCACACTTGGGATTTTCTTGGCAAAGCAGCATGCAGCGGGGAAACTCGCCAAGATGACACAGCAGTCGACATGGGGAGGATGCCACCGACGTGATGGACAAACCTGTATTGCATCGACGGTATGCAAGATCCTACTCGAGTCGAAACTCGATCTTGAACGCCTCGACAAACGCGTCGGACACCGCTGGCATGTCGCGCACAAACTTGGCCGCGAGTTTGGCGTTTTCGCGTTGCAAGAAGCACCGCTTAATCGCGACGAGTCCCTTCCACTCGTTCTTGTCGCTGTCCGCCGTGTCCACATCTTTCCATAAACGCCATGCGGTCTTGAGGTACCCCTTGGTCTCCAACAGCACCGCCAGCTCGACCTTTGCCACCTTCAGCGCGCCTTCTTCGTGAAGGGAGCTCAAGTAGAGAGCGATCGCATCGTCTGGATCGGTGTGGACGACGCTTCGTGCTTGATACAGTCGCACTGGCACATGCCCTGACAAAGTTGTCGTGACCAGCGCCTTGGCAGCTTGCGCATGCAAGTGAGCTTTCGACTTGTCGCGACTGGCGTGCAAATTGCTCTGGAGTACGTGCCACAACCACGTGCCGTAGGGGGTAGCGGACTCGTTCGTGGCATACGAGTCGAGCCACGTGTTTGCTTGGCAAAGCAACGATGTGTCGTCGGGGTGGATGGCGAGCTGCTTGAGCAAGGACATGACGATGAGCAGAGGGGCGAGCGGATCCACGGGATGCAAGTGAAGCCACTTGCGGACGGCAGTGTCCGAAGCATGCCACGACCCAAACAATTCTTCGACCGACTCGATCTGGTGGCGGAGCAACGTGGCTTCGTAGGGGAGGACGGTCGACAACACGGGAGGCAACGGCACGGAGGTCGGTATGCCCTGCAGTTTGCCAAAGTGTAAGCTCGATTGGGCCAGCGCCAGCCATCCATTCGGATCGTTGGGGAACGTTGTCGTCCAGTAGTCGCACATGCGCTTGCATGCAGCCCCCATGTTCAATTGCTGATACAGCGCCACCAACGGACCGCACAACGCGTGCGTTATCGTCGTGTCCGTCGGACTCCACCACGCGGACGCGCCGCCCAATTTGATCAATACCGTCGCAATTGCATCCGAGTGGGTCGGTTGGTTTTGCAGCAACTGGAGCAACGACTCGCGACTCGCGTCCTGCTCGCCCACGCGATACAGCAACACACTGCGGGCCAAGTGCACCTTGACCACATTCGATTCCGACAGGGACGACGGCAAACACTTGGTTGCTTCATTCAGGATTGCAAGCGCGTCCTTGTCATGCCCTCCGCGACCCACATGCACCTGGAACGTATCAGTATTCCGTCGGGTCGCATTCGTATATGCGACGTACCATTGTTTGGAGCAACGGGAGAAGGGGCAGCGGCGCTGGCGACGGCTTGGCAAGCGATTCAAGCACCGACTCGGCAGCGTCGTAATTTTTGGCATGGAGGAGGGCCTGGACCAGATTCAACGACACACCGTCGACCAACGATGGATCGTTTTGAACCATGTCCAGCGTCGATTCAAACGCAGAGATCGCTTGTGGGTACAGGTTGGTCCGCATCAATGCCTACGCGGACGCATGAATCGAAACCCATCGAACGAGGCCAACATACAACGCCCAAACTGTTCGTGGCGGCGGGGTCTCGCGCGTCCCGCTCGTGGTACTTTTTCAGAGCAAACAGCGCCTGGTCCAGGGACCCCGTTCGACTGACCAGACCTGTATAGGCAAATCCGTGCAAAATGTCCAGATCTAGCCGCAATTCCATCGCACACGTAAATGCAGCGTGGGCTTGAGCTGGGTCCCGATTCACGCATTCCATCAGCCCATATCCGAGCCACATGGCTGGATGGTTGGGGTTCACCCCCTGGAGGCTCAGGAACGCCTTTTGCGCGAGCCCTACGTTGGTTTCCATGTCAATTTATGGTCACGCCACAACTCGGTCAAGCAGCGTCGATGACGAACCACGTGCGATGCAACGCAATCGTCAAACAACGTCGAAACCTCGTCTCGGACAACGTACCAAGATGTCCCGACTGAAGATACAACATGCCGAGGTTGGCCCAGGCGGCATCGAGATTGTCGAGCTCGATCGCACGCACAAATGCAAATTGCTTGAGGATAACGTGTTCGTGGACTGCACCGAGGGCGTTCCACACTTTGGCATCGTTTGGATGGGTTTGCAACGATCGAGTCAGGTACGATCGCGCTGTCGCGACGAGCGATTGAATTTCGGTGGGGTACGTGGGCAGGTGTTGCAAGCTCCACTTGGCCATCGGGACGTTCAGCAAAAAACCCTTTGCCTGGGCTTGAATCCAGCATGCAACGCCGGCGTCGAAGAGGGCCAGCGCGTTGGTGGGCGCTTTGGACAGAGCGGTCAAATACGCCTCCGTGCCTTGCTGTAAGAAAGAAATCCATGTCTCGTCAGGGGGAAGGTAAAACGAAAACAGGTGGATATCGCCGAGCAACTTGTACAAACTCGTGTGTGCCTTGCGTGCACCTATCGCGGCCAAGTACGAGCGCAGCACGGTCGACGAGTGCTTGAGTTTGTCGCGGCTGCGGCCGTACAGCCCTTGGGCGCACAACGTTTTGGCCTGAGTGAACAGCGTTTCAGCCAGCAACTTGTGCACGGCCGCGCCGACGTTGGTTTGGTCGTTGCAGGCGTCGACGGCGCCGGCGGCAGTCGTCAAGTGCGCCAACGCTTCATCGAGCAACCCCAACGATAGCTCGATACGGGCCAATTCACAAAGCACACTGTCACTGGGCCGCTTGTCGCCGGCAGCTTCCACCAGAGCCAACGACTTGACGTACGACTTTTGAGCGGCCACAATGCGGCCAAATACTTGGTACACATGGCCAAGAGCTGCCCACAGCGATGCATTGTGTGGGTCAACTCGCAGGAGTTTATGCAGATGACCGATAGCACTATCGTTGCCGTGGGTGACGTCATGCTGCGCCAGACGAAGCAAAGCCCACGGAGCATGGACACGATCTTGGCCCACCGCCATGTCTGTCCACAGCTGGACAGCACGGTCATAGTCATTGGCGTATAACTCTGTCAACGCGATGCCGCAAAATTCACACGAAGGATCCAACGACAACGCCTTGAAAAAGCACTTTTCCGCGCGAGCTGGGTCTCCACCAATATTGAGGTAGTACGAGCCCAACCACCGGAAAATCACCGGCTCATGGGGGTTCAGTTTGGCGGCGCCAACCAGCTGAGCGACACAGTACGCCTTGTTCGCTTGGTATTCGCCACCCAAGTCCCAATACACTCGAGCAAGGCGGTACTTTAGCGCCCACGACACATCAGGGTACGCCAATCCGCCTTCCAGCGTCGTGTGGGCTCCTGCCAAGTCGCCTTGGCGATACATCAACCACCCCTTGGCAGCGCAATACGCCGCCGATTCTTGTGGTCTAGGAATTTTGTCGTCAACACGAAGAAAACCCAACTCGACGCCGCCGCGACGATCAAACAAACGAATGGTGAGGACGCTGCGGAGATTCTACCAAATCACGTACGGAAGAAACTGCAGCGTCAATGCAGCAGCGTCAACATTGTCTTGGTGAAGATGGGCCTCCGCGAGGCCAAGCACGGCGTCGGGAAGGAACGGCTCGTGCTCAATGATTCCTTCGTACACCACGATTGCGCTGGCCCAGTTGCGTAGTGCAATCCACGCCTTTGCTTGCAGCAGCTGCATCGCCGTGTGGGAGTACCTACGAAGGGGACACATTCAATCGGAACGACGGCACAGCGATCCATTGATCGAGAACAAATGGAGCTGCTGATTTGGACATGCCAACGCGTGAGGCATCCCTCGTTGTCGACGTACGATCGAGGCGACGTGCCAAACTTGTCAAACCGGTATTGCACTGCATCCTGAGCTGCATGCACCATATCGAGACACCGCTGGGGATCGAACGAGGCTGACTCAAGGGACAACGTCGCTAAAACGACTCGGGCTTGGATGTGTTCAGGGAGACTAGGGATGCCTTGCAAGATGCTGCTGACAGCCTGGTACAGTTCTCGTGATGGTGCTGTCAACGTTCAGCATGTTAAGTGGTCCACTGACTTCGGAGAATTGGCCTTCATTCGCGTGGTCAAGGCCACAGTACAGATGCAGCAACGGGCTGGTGGTGCTGGACGCAGTGGATTTCAGCACGGCCAGGCATTGCTCCTCCTCGGCTGGCGACAGGACGTCTACGAGGCATACCCCGTGGCAGAAGTGAATGCACGAAAACCCACGATGGCAAACGAAAACGTGTCACGGAACCACTGGCATTCCTCGACGCAATGCACGCGTACCAGCATCGGCATCTTCGATTCGAAGCAGACGAACTTCGGCGGCGCGCTTGGCCCGCGGACACGAACGGACCAAGTGCGCTACCAGTGCATCTAGTGCCTGCCGCGCAGCAGGCTTAGCTTCACACGGTGCTTGCTTCACCTTTTGCCATGCATTTTCCACGGCAATGTCAACGGCTCCGGCGACGTCCAAGCGAAGGGTCGCGGCCGCGGAAGGGGGTGCCCACGATGCATTCTTTGCAGCCTCTTCGTCTTGTTTGAAATCTTCGTTGGCCCACGAGACAGTCGCGACCAACCGCACGATATTCTCCAAGATGAAGTCGACGCTTCGGAAGGGCCCAAGTGTCCGATGAGTCTACGACGGGGCGAATTTGAAGCGTGCCGATGCGTGAAACATAAACAGCATGCAAACGATCCTCACTTGAACCAAGTGCAGCACGTTGATCCATATTTGAATTTCCGACGGGACATCTTGGTTGGGAAAGGCGCCAAGGAAGAGGGCGGGTTTGTCGGCCACAGACACGACGAGGGGAAACCAGGCATGGAGCGCCTACGGGAGGAATAGTGGAACGAAATTGAAACATGCTCGTGTTGACTGACGCTAACACGTGAGAAAACGACGTACTTTGGGCACGACAGAGGCAGCCGTGGCGGCGGCCGCGAGGTCGGCAAAGATCTTTTGGCATCGATCCCACTTGTCGTTTCTACGAAACGAGGAAACGGTGACACATGGAAAGCACCCGTTGCAACAGACGTCATCAAGATCGCCGACAGCTTTTCCAGTGGTTCTATGGCTTTGGCATGTGCGTTGGTCATTTCGTACACTTCCAACAGTCCCTGGAGGCACATGTCCCAAGTGAATTGATGACGAGTAGGGACGATTCACGTGCCTTCCACACAATGGGAAGATCAGGTTGAAGGTCCACGGCACGACGATACGTTGCTTCGGCAAGCGTTGCCTATCCAAGGAAGTGCAGTGTCCGACGTCGATTTCGGTTGCACGCGTACATTCTTGAGGTGAAAGAGGCACTTGCCCTTGAGCATGAGAGCCTGGAAGTTCATGCCATCAAGTTCTAATGCTTTCGAGCTAGCGTCGAGCGCATCCTCGAACGCCTCGTCCTTGAGCTTCAGCTTCGCTTCGTTCAGGTAGTGCTTGAGCATTGTGTCCTGCCTCGATTGTGGCGCCCTCCCAACAACGCATTCTAGTATTACTTCTAGTAATACTTAAACATTGATTAGAGAAAGCACGCCAAACCATATTGGACATACTAATTGATTTTATCCAATCAAACGCCACAACAATTTACTAAACCAATCATATTTGCAGTGCAATCTATAAATCAACCAATCATAAACGTCCGCAGATATTTATTGCGTCTTCTTCGAGTCAGAGTGCTTCTTGTTGCCCTTCTTGGATGCTGTCGAGAGGGCTGGCTGCTTGGCGCCGGCGTTGGCGGAGGTGTTCACAGGCTGGGCAACTTCGTGCTTGACTGGCTTGCGACCAAAGAGGCCAAAGCAGCAGCAGCAGGTTGCGGCGTACAGCGTCAACGAGATCACTTCAACGACAATGCGATACGCGGCAAACACGAGTGGGAGCACCATCAAAAAGATGGTGAAGTCGACGATTTGGCGTGCGTACTTGGCGATGCGAGGGTACAGCTTCTTCAAACGACCGATGCACCACTTGCGCGTCATGCGGAATCGCTGGTCAGCCGTGTTCATCAACCGGCGCGACTTCTCGGCAAACTTCGAGTAGAATTCGTGCACGACAGGGGCGTGGGCGGCGTAGTGCGGCGCGGCCGCCAAGACAACTTGGGCAACGATAGGGTCTACGTGCTCCGCAGCATGTTTCTTGTACAAGTCGTGGGCAGAGGATGACAGGGTCGATGCATGCTTGAGTGCTTCTAATGTGATCGGATGAACGTGGTTGTCGTAAATTTCGATCGACTTCGACTTGGCCAGCGCCACGTATTCGTCCGAATGCTCCAACGTATTAGCCACATTGTCGTAGTAAGCGGAAAACACAGCTTGCCAGTTGATGGCGGCGTCCGCCTTCTTGATGTCCGCCTGCAGATCCAAAATATGTTGCTTGGCGTCCTTGAGCTGGGCTTGCAATGTCGAGATTTGGCCCAACTTGGCCTTGGTAGCCTTCAACTCGGTCTCAAGCTTCGTGATTTGCGCTTGATCGGCAGTCAATTGCACCTCCAACTCCGCCACCTTGTCCTTTAGGTCCTTGTTCTCGGTCGCCAGCGACGTCGCCTTTGCATGCAATGTGTCTTTCAGCGCCACCAACTGCTCCGTCGCCGCTGTCGAGTCTGCATGAACATTGTTCAATTGCCCTTCCAGCTCTACGTTGCGCTTCTTCAGGCCAGCCACTTCCAGGTTGGCATCATTAAGTTGCGTCGTCAGAGAAGCGACCACGCCTTCCGCTGACTTGAGGGTGGCAGTGGCTTGCACTTTGTCAGCTTGACGGTTGTCCTCTGCAGCCTTCGCGGCGGCACTAAGCGTCTTGAGACTCTGTTCCAAGTTTGCTGTGTTTTCTTTGAAATTCTTCTCGGCAGCTTGCGATGCTTTTCGCAAGGCCTCCAGGTCTGCTTCCAACGCCACAACTTGATCGTGCTTCGCACTCATGTCGGCTGACGACACCTTGAGTTCATCGACAACGTTGAGCAAGGCCGCCACTTGTTCGCGTTCTTGTTGGTACTTGGCGTCCAAGTCAGCGTTCGCTTTCTTAAGCGTCTCGATCTCTGCGCCGAGTTGCTTCAACGCCGCCCCGTTCATGTCTACCGACACGGACGCATCTGTGTTCACGGCGACTTCGTCGGCAGTCGCTAAGGCCACTGCGGCGGCAAGCGCCACAAGCATCGAGTGCACGCGCATGGTTGTTGACGTGAGGGGTGTGGCAGAAATGGGCGATTGGCCACGTGGACAATCCACAACGGGCGGATCCCGTTGACGATGTTATTCGTTATCGCTCTCAACTTGTGAGTTAAAATCGGGTTGAAGAGAGTACACGCACGTATTACCTAGTTGTCTATATTGTCAATGAGAGTTTGATGCAGCTCTAAGAGAGTTATCCCGCTCGGACCTTACCAGACGCGTATCTATTGGTGGTAGAAAACCTTTAATACTTTATATATGTTTTTGTTTGTGCAGGATGTGTTTGCAATTGGCGGAGAACGAATGAATCGTGTTGACCTGAGAGGAGGCGGCGGCGGGAGTGAGGAGGTCAGGCGGCAGAGTCCTGTGCGCCAAGCGACTGAATGACCCAGTACGAGTCTCCTGGCAGACACACTATCGTGTATCCGTTGGCGCCTTCCATCTGGTACCCGTGATCTCGCCGCTTGCCTTGTTGATACCACGAGGCCAATGTGTCGGGGAACCCCCAAACCAGCACTGCAGCCCATGGAACGGCCTGTTCGGCCACTTGGGTCTTGGCATAGTCCAACGCGGCGGCGCAAAAGGATTCAGGAATCAAACCACGCCAACGGACACTAGTGGCGCGACTTCGTTCAGTGGAGGACACTCCTGGGACTTGATAGCTCGACACATACTCGTCAGGACTGGCGCGTTGCAGCAGTCCCTCAATTCGGCATGCCATCACCCCGAGCCATTCGTGGACATCTTGAATGTGGTGTCGTGGGTCGCTGGTCGTGCTATCCGCGTTTTCGATCGGGAACGAAGACGTCGGTTGTGGGAGTACGATGTTGTCAAACGGATATATTTCGGCGTTGAGTTCCAGCCGCCGCCGGTGTGCAGAGTCGTGGGTAATGGACACTGTTTGGACTTGTCCGTTGGCATGAGTTGCGCACACGAACAAGTCGACAGGGCCAAAGCGTTCCAAACAGGCAAACACACGTGATTTGAACGGCGAATCTGCTTGGAGGGCGTGGACGTCGATGGCGATCACATGCAAGTTGCCGTGGGTGGATTTCATGGATTTGAGGCCAGGAGGAAGCGCCGCTCGGTGACCAATGAGTCCAAATTGTGTGTACGTGTCGTGGTCCAGGCTTAAAATGAGTTCGCCTGGAGATCAAGATTGTCAATTACAACATCTCATGGGACACCGACCGTTTGGATAGAGAGCCATCGAATTCGCGCCATCTTGCGGTGCATTCTGCAGAATCGCGTAGTATCGTAGATCTGGATGGGCAAGGCACTCCTCGATCAACTCTCGTGGATGTAGTCGAAGCGAGTAGTAGAAGGCGCCTTGTCGAGCAAGAACACCAACAGACGAGGGGGTCGCCGTTGGCAGGAACACTTCAAGTTGCTGGTTGAGCGGGTGCGACTGAACGATGTCCATGCCAGTGCTCTTTGGATTCGTCCATGACGACACACGCACCACGTGCCGGTTCATCGGCAGCTTCTTTGGTAGTTCCATGGTTGTCGCCTTGTTGCTCCATGTTGTGCCACTCAATAATGTTGCAGAGCCACTGAATGTGGCGTTTCTGCTAATTATCCGTAGTCCTCGTTAGTATAGTGGTCAGTATACCTGCCTGTCACGCGGGTGACCCGGGTTCAATTCCCGGACGGGGAGATTTTTTAATTTTTATTATTGCTCCTCGAATCGCACGAGGCTCAATGTCCGCGATGTCTGTGTTGATGCATCATTCGCAGCCAAGGAGACTTCCGCTCGTTCCAAGCAAGGCAGCTGTGTGCAATTGTCTATGGGTGCTCGTTGCCCTAGTGCCCATCACACACGCCAAAACAGGGTGCGCTTGTGTTTGCCAATGCCCGCTGTGTCTCTGTGCTCAGGTGGTACGAGATCGAGGGCGTCGATGCTTCTACCGTCCATTCAACCTGTTATGGACAGCCAACGAACGGTCCACGCAGCCACAGGTGTCACCTCATCCCCCAGCATCCCCCGACGTTGATCGTGTTCAATTGTGGATCGAAGGCGATGTGCATCGTTCGACATCCAGGACTTGGGCCACGAGACCATCTCATTTAGCCACTTCATGAGCGAAAGCAGTAGGCCCATGCGATGAGCATGCCAGTACAGCATGCCATACGCTGGGCGATTTGCAATCCTCTGAGCGCATGGAGCTGCACGCTCGATCGTGCCGTTGAAAATACCGACATAACCTACGATGAGGCGGATCAATTGCATGTTATTACTTTCTACATGAGCATCGACTCGACGACAGCCGAGAGATCATGGCGCCCAAGGAAGTGGGGGGTAATACAACAATATATATTCGTGGTGGCCTTGGTGAAGAAGGGTGCATAGGACTGTAACACCTGCACCACGACACGCCCCAGGCGGCTGTGATGGTGCTGGTGACGGCGGTGATAGCGAGTCCCTCATGCATAGTGCATAAGGTGGCCACAGTAGTGACCCTTGATTGACGGAACTTGAGCAAAGTAGAAGCGCCAGACCAACACGGCCCCTTGCCACACAGCCACAAGAGTCCCAGCACTAGTGACTCCAGTTTGTCATCGCTAGCGCATGGCTGACTACACATCAGGTGTCAAGTTCCATGGCTGCATCAACGACGTCGAGGGCAACGTGATGCAGAGAGAGAGACCATGACGTGCCTCGCCCTGTCCTGCTCTTGGCCGTGTTTAGGAGCAGTTTGATTCCGTTCTGGACGAATCGTCGTTTCGGCGAGCTTGCCAAGCGTCAAATGCCCCATCTTTGGACGTCATGGCAGATTTCGACATGACGGCGCCGCGAGAGACGGAACAGCTAGTTCTTGTGAATAGAATAGGTTTGTGCATTAGAGCGACGTGGTTGTTGACTGCGACAGGGGATTCTGGCACCCGGATGCAGCCTTGGATGCGGCCCCAAGCGCGGCAAATACGGAGTCCATGAGGGCATCGTCGAACAGTATTGCGTGAGTGCCTTGCTTCACAACGTGCAGCTGTGCGTTTGGCAGGACCGACACAAATTCCTCGGCGGCTTTCAGCGGCACAAGGGCATCTCGATCGCCGTGGTAAACATGAATCAGCGTGCGGTGCAATTGGTGCAAGTCAAAGCCAAACCCCGCGCGGCATTTGCCGAGGCACAACATGGCGTCTTGGAGGACGTTGTTCGGTTCGCTTTGGATCCCGTGCTGAAATTCGTGGAATGGAATGGTGTCGTTGTCGTTGTGCGAAGGATGCGGGTAGTCGTCGTTCGCATGGGCAGGCACGCGGGCGCCCAGTGGGGCCAAGATGTAATTCGGATTTGCACTCATCGACGTGAGGTCGTTCGAGACGTCCATGAGCTTGATGCCAGCAGACAAGAGAACCGTCGGGCAAAATGCGGCAAGCTTCAACAGCGGCAATGTGCCTGGGTTTTGAATACCCACCCACGGCGCAATCAACATAACCGGTTGAATCAATCGGGCAACAAACGACTCCTGCGCAGCAAGCGCGAGCGCGTAGATAGATCCGGCCGACTGGGCCATCAGTCCCAACCGACTGATGTGGAGCTTGGAAACGAATTGCTCAATGATGTACACAAATGCGATCGGGTGCGGAATGTCCGACGCAGCGACGTGGTCCGAGAGACCGTAGCCGGGCCGGTCGATGCAAAACAGGCGGATCCCGTGGTTGTGTGCCAGGTTGCTGTACAAGTAGCTGTGGAACCGATGGCCACGCATGCCGAGCAAGCAAATAACTGGAAACCCACGCGGGTCGCCCACTTCAGCGTAGCTGACCTGCCGTCCGCACTGCAGTGTGAGTCGTCGGTTGAACTTTTTTGCATCCAGCGCCGGACGCGGCAACGACGCCCGCGTCGACGGCGGCGCCATCGCAAAGCGTGGTATTTCGAAGTGCCCAACTTTCCAACGGCAGTTGGACAGGTCCTGTAATCGGCGGTTCTAGTTAAGGTCACCTTCTAAAATACCCTAAACAGTGTGGACTTGTCCACACGCACCTCCTCGGCTTTCACCTGCAGAGCATGCAATACGGGGACGGTATTCGTCCATTTCGGAGGACCAAGATCGGCTTAGTTGAATCAAGGCTTACGCAACTTTATCACGGTCGTGGCGGCACATGAAGTTCTGACTTGTTTAGGGTACTTTAAAATACCGTGTAAAAACATTGCGCAATGTGATTGGCTGATTCCAAATCTTCCGCAAGACCGCATTCCCACATCTACCTACAGCTCGTCGAGGCGGGCATCGAGGGATGCCAAGATGTCGGCGATCGCATCGACGACCATGGCCCCTACAACTGAAGGTGCATAACGGCGGATCATGTCATGTCTTGCTTGGCGTCCTTTCGCCTTTGCCTCCTACAAGCGACAACACACACACATGAACCATCCACCGCCGTCCGCGGAGTTGACACCGTACGTCAGGATGATGGACGACACGCCGCATGAGTTGCTGAAGGTGTGTGACGGATGGCTCGGCCCAAAGATGTCCTTTGAATGCCCCCGACTCTACCTACAAACCCGACCGTGTGATCAAGTTTTGCCATCATCCACGATGATGGGGGCATAACTGGAACCAAGCCTTCGATGTCGAGTGGGTACGAGTTTTCTTGGGTCATGTACTCGGTGGGCCCACTCCAGAACGTTGCAATAACAGGAAGTGACATTGCCATGGCCTCCACATGCGGTCGGCCCCACCCTTCCCCTCGAGACGGAAGGACGAAAGCTGTCGCAGCCTTGTACAACGCCGGGAGGTCCTCCTGTGTCCTCGTGAAAATTCGCACTGCTTCGACGAGTAAATCGTAATGCTGTACCTGGGCCAGATGCGGTGGGAGGATGTGGATGCGCGGCAATTCTTCCAACGATCGTCCTGCAAACGTATCCAACGCAAAGCGCTCGACCAAACTCTACGACACAGCTTGACGACGCTCGGAGACATTGATGGCCCCGCGGCGTACTGCGAAGTCGCTGGAGCTATGGTACGCGTTCGTGAGCAACACCAGTACGACGTCGTCGTCGGTCCTGGAGAACTCGGCGAAGTACGCCTTGAGCAGCGTTTTCCATCCCTTTCGTTCTTCCCATCTATTCGATTTGCCGCATCAACGACAACGGTATCATTGGTACTTTTGGGTCGTACTTGAAGATAGACAAGAACACAGTCGTGGTGCTTGAGACGCCGTCGACTACCCAGTCACGTCAAGGAGAGTTCTCGACCAAAAGGGAACGACTGTACTGGGAAGCGGTGCGACGTTATCGGGATTGAAGAATGCGACGTCGACAGCTTCAGGGACGACCGTGACTTTGGACGCTGGCACGCCCGCGGCTTCAAAGATCGTTTTGGCAAATCTAATCGACGAACATCAACCTCAGTCCTCGAACGCTTGACGAAAGCAAGACCAACGTGGTGGGCACCCAAATCTCGTCCATGATGTCGTTCATGCGCTCGGCCCAGCCAGACGGCAACCGATCGGTCTCAAACATCGTGCGACCAATGGCGTACTCGGTGCCTACGACAAGGTTATTCAGGGGGGTCGAACGAGATCCAGCTTGCCTTTTGGAGGACACAACGTTGTCTGGTATCGAGGTGGGTTCCATGCCCCGGGCTCGGAATGGCAGATGGCGATCGTTGGCGGCGACGCGGTCGGCGGCGTGAACCAATGCGATTTGAAAAGCTCCTGCGTCTTGGTGGGCAACGACTTTGAGAATGTCGGGTTAACTGAATCGCCATGTTGCGTGATGTGCAGCGAAAACAATGGCGAATTGATCTGTGCAAGGGCTCCGGCGAACGAGATGGCCTCGGAGCAATACCCTCCGCCACTAAGAAACGGGGCATACCATTGCAGGACAGCACCCGGCGCTTCGTTGTCCGCTGCCACCTGTCAATAGTGCATGATGCCCACAAATAATTAGATACCCACCGCACCTAGATCATGTACTCGAGGGATTCTTACACGAGCTAGTGGAAACAGCACACGCAGCGCAAGGACAACACTGGCGGCGCGCATTCCTTTCGGCAAAATGGCAAATAATCCGTGAGATTTCCAAAAGTGACCGGATAAGTTGTCCGGATATTGTAGCAGCACAAATGTGAAGTGAACAAGCTGTACAGGGTGCGGATGGATGCCGCCGCCGTCCACAAAGGACTCTCAGAGTCGCATGGCGTCACATCGCACACAGCCTCCCTTGCAAGGACGCAGCGGAAACCTCCTTTGTTGCTTCTGATCCATTGTGCGCAGAATTTCGGCCATTCGGTAAACCCAACCGTGATCTTGAAGTCGTCAGCTCCATATCCCCATGCAACAATGCCCTAATCCCCTGTGCGAGCAATCCGTCTACGCCAATCTCCTCCTTCGCCCTTCGACGGTGGGACTCACTTTCCATAAGAGCTATGCATTATTACGCAGCAGTCATAGACGTGCTGTTTAGAGATTGCCACGGTTGCGTTCGGCGACGTTGCCAATGTTGTGGTGAGCAGCAGTCCATTCACAGTGGAAGTTGCCTTCACGGTCTGTTCGTTCGTAACTGTGTCCACCGAAAAAGTCGCGTTGGGCCTGGGTCAAGTTGGCCGGCAGCGACGCGCGGCGGTACATGTCAAAGTAGTTCAACGAGCCAGAAAACGACGGGGTCGGGATACCGCTGGCCACAGCCAACGACACGACGCGGCGCCACGAGAAATGGCGCGCGTTCAATTCGTTGGCGAAGTCCGCGTCAATCAAGAGCGAGCTGAGCGAAGGGTCCTTCACATACGCCGACTTGATGCGGTCCAGAAAGGCAGCGCGAATGATGCAGCCACCCTTCCAGATGCGCGCGCACTCGCCCAAATCAATCTTCCAGCCGTTCTGGATACCGGCTTCACGGATTAAGTTGAGACCTTGGGCGTACGAGCAGATCTTGGAAGCATACAACGCTTGGCGAACGTCGTCAATCAACTGTTGCTTGTCCACCGACGGGATCTCGCTTGGACCGTTCAAGATCTTGGAAGCGATCACACGCTGTTCCTTGAGCCCAGAGAGGTAGCGGGCATCGAGCGAAGCCGTGATCGTGGGGGCAGCAACAGAGCGTTCGGCAGCTTCTTGGACCACCCAGCGACCCGTGCCCTTCATGCCAGTCTTGTCGAGAATCTTATCGACGAGGTAGACATCCTTGTCGGCCCCGGGCAAATCGTCCTTCTTCTTCAAAATAATGGCCGTGATTTCAATCAAGAAACTTTCCAATTCGCCGGAGTTCCACTCCTTGAACACGTCGGCCAACTCGGCATTGCTCAAACCACCAGAAATTTTGAGCACGTCGTAGGCTTCCGCGATCAATTGCATGTCGCCGTACTCGATACCGTTGTGAACCATCTTGACGTAGTTACCCGAACCGATTTCACCAAGGTACGTCGTGCAAGGGCTGTTGTCTACTTGCGCGGCACACTTGATGAGAATGGGTTCCAACGCGTCAAAGGCAGCGCGGGGACCACCAGGCATGAGGGAAGGACCCTTGCGCGCACCTTCTTCACCGCCGGAGATACCCATGCCGACAAACAAAATGCCCTTGGGTTCCAATTCCTTGGAACGGCGGATAGAGTTGGGGAACCACTCATTCCCACCATCAACAATGATATCGCCTTCTTCGCAATGTTGTGAGATCGCATGGATCGTATCATCCACAGGCTTGCCGGCTTGCACCAAGATGATAATCTTACGGGGGCGGGACAGCGACAAGACAAAGTCTTTCACGTCCTTGTAACCAACCAAAGGGAGGTTGCCTTCATCCTTGGCACGTTGGACCGTGGTGTCTACCTTATCGGGGGAGCGGTTGCACACCGACACTGAAAATCCGTGCTCAGCCATGTTGAGCGCAAAATTTTGGCCCATCACAGCGAGGCCATACAGACCGACGTCAGACAATGGGGCGGACATGGCGAAAGATGGGAGAAGTTCAACGGAAATTCGGAAATGAGCTCCTCGCGACAATCGAACTCATCCGGATAAGTATCCGAACGGCTAGGGTGAACATCCATCAAATTCTAGGATATCAATAAATATCTATATAGAATAGCCGACGTTTCCCATGTATTGACCAATATTCGACCAACGGAAGGCAATTTGCCGAATTACACGTAGGCACTTACGAATTGCTTTGCCACGATCCCACTTCGATTGGCCATGTCATGACGACTCCTTCCGTGACGATGTAAGTGGTAATATCTTGATGGCGGCAAGAAGAAAGAAAAGCGGGGGGAGAGGTGGGCGGTAAATTAAGCTTGCGGGGAACTCGCTTGTCTGCGTTTTACCGTCATTGTGAGCCAACAACGCGCCTGTCACCGGAGATCGCACAGCAGTTTGTGTGGGATTACGTAGTTCCAGCCCGTGACATTCAGGGATGTGGCCTGTTGCGTCTTAACCCGCTCTTATTGGCTTTAAATAACACATACCAGCCAATCAAAAGATGAAAATTGTAATGATTGGTGGAAATAAATCCTAGGCATAAAGTTGCAAAACAGTTTGTCCCGGATGCACAATCTCACAACGAATCTGGCTGGTATCATGTGGGAGTCATGGCGCATATTCCGCCGACTTCGACAGACGCCAGAGGTCACGCGTAGACAAGAATTCCTGCGCAGAGGGAGGATGAAAGTAGAAGCATGGGCGCCATGGCAATGGGGGTGTAGCTTGCATGATCTCATGTTGCATTCTGATGTTGGTGGATAGCTGAGGTATGCTGTGAATGCTATTGTGGCCGTGGGGGCCATACAGGGCGGCGCGGACGAGGAAAGCGAAGAGCCTACGGCGACGAATCGAACGACGCAACGGCAATGGCCCACTCGACGCAACTTGGAGCCTCACGGCCAGGACGACCATGAACCCCGCACGCAGTAGGATATGATTAGAGATTGTAGAAAGACATATACAACCACCGACAACCCGAGCATGTCCATTCAATTCGTCAGGACGCATGTAAGTTGCATCGGACGCCATGGAGACATTCGTGAATAGTGAAAGCCGCGCTGACCTGAGCATCCAACATCCGATGGCCCATCAGCCTGGCGGGAAGCGCACATGGTGCGCAGTTTGAGGCCAATTTCGGACAAATTGGCATATTTCGGACTTTTCAAGATGTCAGGACAAGTCTGGTGAAGAGACATTTGTGCAGTGCGGTCCACTACCTCGCGTGAATCCTTCACCAACCGCAGGGCAACTGAGGTCGAGTGAGAACGTTTGAGGTGGCAATGCTTCGCCCTTCCGCGAGTGCGTAGCCCTTGGGTAATCTTGGTTGCATGGTAGCACTGGACCTAATCTGACACTTAAAATAGGACTTTCACGACGTGCTAAGCCGGACCAAGTAAATTTCACAAATTTGAGCTGTCAGGTTGATGTGCGGCCCCAGCGACTACTCGTCCAGGTCTTCGCAGACGCCGCCCAGATCGTCGTCGTGATGGATTCCCGCGGTGCTTCCCTCCGATTGATCTCGACCTGGTGGTTGCATTTGAAGTATCCCCATCCAGCTCTGATGCAGCCACAGGCCTCTTGATGGTACCGAAGGCCCAGGCTCCCGCCGTCCTGCCAGCACGTCCAGCATGACCGACGGCGGTAACCTTCCTTCGCCAATTGGCCGCAATGTCCCGACGATGCGGCGTACCATGTGCCGGAGAAACCCAGTGCCTGTGATCTCAATGCACACCATGAAATTGTCGGCACATCCAGGGGAAGGGTCCGGTGTCACAACGTCGCCAGTACCAGCCGTTGCGAGATCTAGCGAAAAGTCCACCGACCTACGCAGTCACCTCAGCAGTCAGAATTTCCATCCAAGCGCCGCATATGCTGCATGCACAAGCAATTCGTCGCCATGGCTGCACAGCAACTCCAACGTCGAGGGGCCTGTCGAACTGAAACCCACCGTCGAGCAACGACTTGGCAGTCCAGCAACGTTCGCGTCGTGTTCAAATCGGCAAATTCGTGTTTTTGCAATCCCTGTGAAAACGCGCGAAAGTCGTGGGTGCCCGTGATGTACCCCAGCGCTTCCCGCATGGCCGCCAAGTTAAGTGGCTTGCCGACAAACCACGCCGTGTGAAGCGTTGTCGTACTTGGCCGAGGACCTTGCTCGATGTAGTACACGTACTTCTTTCGAATCGACTTGGTGCGGCGGCGCGCATCCACGTCATTCAGTAGCACCAGGGACTGGGCTCGAACAGATTCGGGCAATCTGGACAGAATGACCATGATGACCTGATGCCAGGACGACGACGTACGCAGCGTTTATAGCGACGAGCATTTCGGAAGGAGGGGGGTGAGGCTCGGACAAAACGAACGTGCAGTATTGCTGGATGGGCGTGAATCGACGGAGGAAGGGGACTGAGTTGAAGATTGACGTGACGGGGTCGACATACTTGAAGGGCATTCGTCCCCGAGTCCGTTCGGCTGACAGAAGTTACGTTCACATGCTCATGCGGTCGGAATTGCGACGTGACAGCAGCTTCCACAACATCTTGAATGCTCACAAGTTGTGCCTGTCCAGCAGGTGTCTTGTGCGTGATGGCCTACAACAGCATCGATTGCGACTTCCATGCGATCGAAGACACAGGCGGAGGCAACATGAGCACGTACTTGCCGTTGCCAACCCACGTAGCCACGACCATAGTACGACACCATCATCAAGAACTTCCTCCGCTGCGCCGTCGCGGTCGGTGGCGGAGGCGGCGTCGTGTCGGTCATCGCCGACGTCCGGTTAACTGAATTATCCGGACAAGCCCTTTGATTTGGCGAAAGGTTTCCTAGCGACGGCAGCGTGCCGCAGTCGTACACGCATGAATCCCCCGCCTTGAGATTAGTGCGTCGAGACGTGGAGTCCTTCCAAGTCAAGTAGGTGGTTCGGTATTGGCGGTGTGATGGGCTGATGCCTTCGTGTATCGGCAGTGTCGCCGCTGAAGTGTGCTTTGGAGGTGCCTAGTAGTACACTAGGCAGTGCTCGCTTTGAGCTCTCTGCAAACTGCATGTATATGTCTGGACCACACGTATGCAAGATCAAGAGTTGCCACTTGAGTGGCACTGCCTGTGTGAAGCTCGCCATGTTGTGCGGGCCAACACACGCCGACAACGCTTCACGCGCCGCCACGGACGCGTGCATTGTGATCGGCGAACGGAGGCTGCTCCACGTTGTGCCGGTGGCACGTGCATCAAAAGCACATCTCGTTAAAATAAACCATCATGGATGTTCGTCGGTCATCCGTCGTGGCAAAACACGCCCTGCGTGTACCCGAGCGCGGCCGGGTCGAACGAGTCGATCTTTTTGCAGTAGCAATGGCCAAACTCCTCGAGCGGCACCGTGTAGTACCCCGTCGGTCCCGCCGTCCACGTAAACGCATTCGTCCCCTTGGTGCTGTCGATGCACTTGGCGCAGTCTTGGAACGACCCCTTGAAGTCAAACACGTCGCCAATCCCAAACAAGTCGGCCTCGGCGCGGCAAAACTTGTAGTTGTGCACCATCGCCGAGAACGCCTTCAGGTCCACCGCCTTGCTGATCGCGTACTGGAACGTCTTGGCGGCCGTCTTGAGCTCGCACGTCGGGTAGTACCCCGTGTACGACGCCGAGTTGCACTGGGGGTTCTGCTGGCACAGCTGCACGCACTCGTCGATCGATTTGACGTTGGCGGGCGACGCGAGCGTGTCGCCAAACAGGTTGATGCCCTTGTACATGACCCACGACTGGGGCGGGAGTTTGCACGACACCATGTACGGCTTGTTCGTGCCGTCGTTCGACGTCGGGCACCGCGCCGGGTCTTGGAGGTGCTTGAGGTAGCACTGGCCAAAGTCCTTGCGACTTGGCACCCACGTGAACGCGTTGCAGATGGGGTTTGCCAGGCACGCGGCTTTGCAGTCGCCCTGGGATCGCTCTTGATGGGACAGGTCGTCGCC